GGCGCCGGCGCGCGGGGAGGAGTATGACTACTACGGCTGGCAGACCGAGCCGCTGCACGGCCGCTCCTACTCCAAGCCGCCCCAGTGCCTCGACATCCCCGCCGACCTGCCGCTCTGCCACACGGTGGGCTACAAGCGCATGCGGCTGCCCAACCTGCTGGAGCACGAGAGCCTGGCCGAGGTGAAGCAGCAGGCGAGCAGCTGGCTGCCGCTGCTGGCCAAGCGCTGCCACTCAGACACACAGGTCTTCCTCTGCTCGCTCTTCGCGCCCGTCTGCCTCGACCGGCCCATCTACCCGTGCCGCTCGCTGTGCGAGGCGGTGCGAGCCGGCTGCGCGCCTCTCATGGAGGCCTACGGCTTCCCCTGGCCGGAGATGCTGCACTGCCACAAGTTCCCCCTGGACAACGACCTCTGCATCGCTGTGCAGTTCGGGCACCTGCCCGCCACCGTGCCTCCAGGTAGCGCCGCGCCTCGCGCTCCGTCGGCTCTGGGTGCGGGCGATTTGGGCCCCCGACAGATGCTGCTGCTGAAACCCCTTAGCTCTGCAAGCCCCCCCAGAAGCCTGCCCCTTTGCACAGAGATACACGCACCCCATCTGCTCTCCACCCTGAGTCCCCGCCCGAGAACTGACACCCCCCCTCCAGTCTTCCTGCCTTCTCACCTCCCCACAACTGTCACCTAGTGCGTCCCTGGAATATCCCAACTGGTTCTCCCTCACTCCAGCTCTTTTCCTTAACTACCTCCACCTCCCTGTCCACCTCTCAAGTTCCCATGCCACTAGAACCCCTGGGGGGTTCCCAAAGTAATCCCCCCACCCCAATGCATCCCTGGTTGGTTCTCTTAGCCCAAGAATGCCCAACATTATTAAACAACGCCTTCCACCTCTCCCACAGCCCTGGGCCCCGGGGCACCAAGACAAGCATCACCCCTACCCCAAGCTGCAACTTTTAGAGGTGAGGAGGGTGGCAGCGAAGGGCTTAGCAGAAGACTGGAGCTGTGCTCTGAGCACCCGTGGGTTCCACCTCCCCACTCCATCCCTTTTTCTGCAGCCTGAATCTTCCACCAGCTTCTCGGACAGGAGAACTTTGGGTGAGGTTCAGCACCGCAGAAAGAGCAGACTGCAGGCTCTGCCCTTAACAAGAATCCCTTGGCGTGACTTTTCTCAGCCTGGGTTCCCAATCTGTAAAAGGGAAGTGCAAAGTGCAGTTCCCCACACCCTTAATCCCATCACCCTTAATTCCTCCCTCCCTGGCCTCAGTCCCCTCACCCTCCACAGTGTATAGAAGGTCTTCCAGGAAGAGGGACCCCAGGCTGGGCACCAGAGGGGAGAAAAAACGGTGGCTCCAAGCAGGAAAGCCTGGCCCGAGAAGGAGCCGCTCATGCTAGGACTCCCCCAAACAGGAGCGCCCTCCCTCTTTTACCTGTCTTTCCCAAACACCAAAAAGCAACCAGACCCCTTGGGCTGACCATACCCACCCCGCCACACACACACACACACACACACACACACACAACCCACAACCCATGCCCTCCTTTGAAAGCTGTGGTTTTGTGGGGGTCCTAGGATGGGGAAGTATTAAGAGAAGGAAAGCCCCCTGTCCTCACGATGGAAATGGACCCCAAAAGCAGGGGATGGAAAACCAGCCCAAGCAGAGACCGTTCCCAGCAGAGGTCCGGGAACACACCTTTGCTGGCTTACTTGGACGCAAACATTAGCCGCCGGAGAGGGAAACCCCAGGTCTGAACCCCACCTAGCCCTGTCCTGGCTACTGCCCTCTGGCAGCCCACCTTTGCCCTCCAACAAGGTGCACACCTGGAGGCAGAGACAGAGGGGAGACAGAGGGGTTGCTGTGTGCAACCTGAGGACCAGAGGTGCACGTAGAAGTGTTTAGATGACCACAGATAAGAGCCAGATATTTCATAGAAAAATGACGAGTTTGGGCTCCTCTTTTAAGATGGAAAGTTCTGGAAATGTTAAGCTGCCCACTTTAGAGGGAGTGTGCCTCAGTTTGCCCTGCCCTGCCAGCATCATCACTGGTTCACCCTGGATTCCTAGAAAGTCCCCTCAAGGGTCAACACAGCAGCTCTAGCCCCGCAGTCACAAACCCCAACTTCTAAACCCTTTCTCGCTGGCTTTGCAAATGTGAGGCTGGGTCTCAGCTTCCTTGTCTTTAAAATGGGAACAATAACACCTACTTCCTAGGCTGAGGAATAAATGAGCAAATTTATTCACCACTGAATAGGGCTTCACCACTGCCAGCCAGGCTGCAGGGCCACCGTGCCCACCTGGGCCTTTCCTCCTGGGAAACCCTGTCCTCACAAGCGCTGCGCAGCAGGTGATGCTATTGTTACCATCACCCCAGTCCCGGGGGAAGGGGAGGCTTGGCTGGGGAGGTGGCTGGACAGAGGGACGCCTGCACCTAAGCAGCTCTGCCGACTCTGACCCCCTCGCGGGCCCCTGACCCACCGCCTTCTCTCCTCAGTGACCAAGATCTGCGCCCAGTGTGAGATGGAGCACAGCGCCGACGGCCTCATGGAGCAGATGTGCTCCAGCGACTTCGGTGAGTGCGCGGCCCTCGCAGCGGCCGCTCCGCCTGGGCCAGGCGGCCCCGCCTCGGCGCACGCGCGCCACATCCAGCAGTCAGGCCTAACAGTGTGGGCATCACAGGCCCCTTTTAGAGTCTGGGGATAACCAGGCACCCTCTTCCCAGAGAAATATACCTCAGGGCGTGGTCCAGGGCCTCGGCAACCACCCGTGGCCAGGGCTCCTGCAGCCCGCCTCGCTGCTGCCCACAGGGGTCTCCACAGCGGGACTGGCTCTTGGGGAGAGGTGGGCGAAAACTGGAGACTGAAGGGGCGGCGCAGGGAGAAGAGGGCTCCAGGAGTCCCTAGGGCCCTCCCTGCTGTCCCCCGCGCCTCCGGCCACGCAGGCTGTGGTCGCCTGCCCCCCGCCAGCTGTACCCTGCGCCCCCACACCGCTGGGTGTCTGCTGCGTGGCCCACACAGCCCGGCCGTGACCTTTGCCAGCGCAGCTCCTGTTTGGTGGCCTGGCCTTCCCGTCTGTGAAAGACAGCAATGAAACTCCTGCCTCACCACGTCTTTTCTGTCAGTAGTCCACTGGGAAGAGAAGCCCCCCGCAATCCGCGGCGGCTGGGCTCGCCGACCAGGGCCACTTGTGCGCAGCCGCAGTGCGGCGCCGTCGGTGTGAGGACGCGCGAGGTCCACCTCTCGCTGCGGCGAAATCACAATCGCCTAACGACCATTCTCAGAATGGACCCCATCTTTAAATACACATCAAGTATTCAAAGTGGGGGAGGGTGTCGGAGCTTGGGGGAACGAGGGGAAGTGAGTGAGGACAAAAGATGGCGTGACAAATTTCTTCGCTGAGTGCACAAAGTTACTCTCTGGCTCTTCCTGGCGGCTCACAGAGGCAGACCCAGAGGCCTGCAGGGAGGAGCCCAGGCCACCCTGTGCACAGCCGCATTAGGTTCTCCGCTGCCACCAGAGCCCACCGTCAGCCTCCCCACCTGCACCTCACTCCCGCCCCCACCTGCACACACCCACGCTGCCATGTACAAAATGCACAGCAGGGCACACACACCCGTTACACTGCACAGCCTTGCACACACAGGCGGTGCGTTCGCACGTGCAGGAGCTGGTCGTGTGCAGCTTTTCCCAGGCCTGTGTCTGTGAAATGCTGGGTCCTGCTGGGGTGTACCCGGTGGAAACCAGTACGTGCTGCAGAGCAGAAGACCCTTGCCCAGAGCCCGCTGTCAAATATTTCCCAGCCCACCACTGTGCCAGCCACACTGGCACTGCACACACAACCAGGGACGCCCCTGGGCAGCATCCCGAGGTCATGAAGCCCAGCCTCTCTCCAACAAAGGACTCCACCAAATCCCTCTCTAAGGGTCAGCCTCACCCCATCGTCCCCAGGAACACTCCACTCCCCTCCGCTCCTCAAGTGTTCTCCACCCTGCACTTGATATCACGAAAAGGCATGAGCTCTGGGGCAGGCTGGCATCAGTCCATCCAGCTGGACAAATTGGGTGGGCTACAACTTCTCCAAACCTCACTTCCCCGCTGCACCTTGTCCACGAAGTCCAGCCAACAGTAGGAGACGCGATCCCGTAAGTATTAAACATACACGTCAGCTCCACCAGGCTTGGAGCCCCAGGCATGGCCACTGTGAGGCCGCAGCACCCTGAGCAAACCTGACTGTTCTCACACTGTCCCCCTGTCCCCCCACCCACACACAGTGGTCAAAATGCGCATCAAGGAGATAAAGATCGAGAATGGGGACAGAAAGCTGATTGGAGCCCAGAAAAAGAAGAAGTTGCTCAAGCCAGGCCCCCTGAAGCGCAAGGACAGCAAGAGGCTAGTGCTGCACATGAAGAGCGGCGCTGGCTGCCCCTGCCCGCAGCTGGACAACCTGGCCGGCAGCTTCCTGGTCATGGGCCGCAAGGTGGACGGACAGCTGCTGCTCATGGCTGTCTACCGCTGGGACAAGAAGAACAAGGAGATGAAGTTTGCGGTCAAGTTCATGTTCTCCTACCCCTGCTCCCTCTACTACCCCTTCTTCTATGGGGCTGCGGAGCCCCACTGAAGGGCGCTGCTCCCTCCCCACCCTCCTGCAGTGCCTTGCCCTCTGTGGGGCCCCTGGGCACTCAGCCACCTCCTCCCACCAGGCCTTGCCCCCCTCCCAGGCGGACCCAGCCCCTGCAGGAGGGTGGTTTCATGCAGAGTTGTCACCAGCATAGCCTTAAGGGGTGGAGGGGTTCTGCAGCCCTTGGGAGGAGCCCTGAATCTCAGAAAGTTGGCAGGAGGAGGCGAGAGCCAGGGAAGAAGGGCTCTGAGCTGCTGAGGAGCTGGTGTCCAGACTAGACTGGGTCAGCACCCCGGTCAGTGGTGGGGCTTCGGCCCAGACGGGGAGTGTCCCTATCGGCTGAGCCCCTGCACGTCTCTCATCCCAGCCTCCAAAACAAAGGCCTTGGGGCCTCAGTGCCCTCCAGTCCCACCTCCCTGCCTTCCCCTGGGCTGAGGGGAGCCCTGCCCAGACCTCCACATGCCCGTCATCCTGATGATGAGTAAATTATTGCTACTGCTGCGAGGCCATAGGCACTAGATGACTGATGCAGGTAGGGTTTGTTTTTTTAAGTTTTTTAAGTTTTTAATTAAATGGAAGGACCCAGTGATTTCTTTGTGGCTGGTTCCTGAGCAGTGGGAAGGCGTTTCAGAAGGGCACTAAAGGAAGAGGCCCGTCCACTCACACTCGGGACACCAAAGACCAACGCCTGTGTGTTTGCAGGGAGAGAAAGCCGGGGCTTAGCCTTCTCATCCTGGCCGTGAAGTGAGGGATGGAGAGGACTGTCCTTTTGGCTAGTGGAGAGGCACCTTCCAGACTGACCCCCTGCTCCTGCAGCTTCTCCTACCTGGGCAATGCCTGAGCCCAGGATTCTTAGAAGTCTGGGCCCCAGGGACCACGCTGGAGAGCAGGCCTACCTGCGTAACTGCTCACGCCCCTACACCCAAGCCCCTCGGACCCAAGATGGTTAGTGTTGCTCTCAGCAGACTCTGAGTCAGGACCTAAGCGTCACCGGGGAGCTGGTTGGAAATGCAGCTCAGAGGCCCACCCCAGAGCATCACAGCCTGCATTGTAACACATAAATATCTGAATCATCTCGGAAACTCTTCCAGAACATGGGCCCCACTCTCATGCAACCCCATCAGTGTCTCGCCGTTCAGACATGTGCATTCTAGATGCTTCTGGAATGATGTGCAGCCGAGGTTGAGAGCCAAAATCTAGATAAGCCAACAACTTATCTGAGGCAGGAAAGGATGGACTGAGGTCACCCCAGGCTAGAAGAGGCAAGCTGGGTAGCTGAGGGGGCTCCTTCAGTGGGCTCAAGGCAGCTGACGGCCGTCACCTTGAGCTGGGTGGGCAGGGAGGGCAAGTTTGAAATTGAGGCAATAGGCCATGGTCACTGTGATGCCCAGCATTTGGGAGGGGTGGCGCCAGTTAGGAGCTCCTTAGCAGGTGTCTGTCGCAGATGTTGAGGGGTAGAGTGTATCTACAGGGGCTGGGCACACCCCCAGAGGGGCTTTCCTCACCAGTGGGGCGGGGGTGGGGGGCAGCAGCTGCGATACCAAGCCTAGTCACAGCTGCCTGACTCTCAGAGGGGCGCACTGCCCAGAGAATGGGGAAGGCCCAAGGCCCAAACCCCACTGTGGGCCAGTGAGCACCAACAGGTGGGCTGACAGGCTGCCCACCCATCAGCCCTGGTCAGGTGGCCTCACCACAGGTCAGGGGCAGCAGAGGCCCGCTTGTTTCTCCTCAGCTCAAAAGCAGCCAGTGCCACCCACCCTCACCTAAACCCTGCCCAGCCCACCTGGCTCCCTGAATCTACCCCTTGTATCTCAGCCGCCTACTCCGACCAAATATTTACGGACACTTCCATGGTCAACCAGAAGCAAGGGTTATTTTTCCACTGAACACATAGGACTCGGGCCGCTTCTGGCCAGAGCATAATACCAACCTCTGTCAGGTGCTGGCAGCCAGTGAGAGGGAGCCGGGCGAGCAGAGGCTCTCTAAGCCCATCCCAGGGAGCCCCAGTAAGGCACCCACTTGCACCCCCAGGGGTCAGGCCTTTCTCTGTCCATTGACTGTCCCAGCATTTGCTGTCAGATTCCCAGCAATCTCTGAAGACCACCTAGACCGGCAAGGCCTGGGTCTACCCCTGGCTTCCTTCAGTCCTCCCACCCCCTGGAGACAGGCAGCTGGTGCCACGGCCTCCGGGCTGGGGTGGATGCCGACTGCCTCTGACTGAATGGAAGGGAAACCTCTAGTAACCACAGGGCTTTGTGCTTTTCAAGAGACCCAGAGGAGGGTGGGAGGTCTGTGCTCCAGAATCTCCCTTTTCCTGGGGGGCAAAGAAGGTGGCTTTTGTTATCATTGGGTACAGCAGAGGGGTGAAAGGCTAAGAGCCGAAGCAGCTGCCTCTGGCCTTTTGATCAAGGGAGGGTCACCCCGACAAGTCCCCCGTACTAGATGTTCGTTTCTCGTTCAGTGACCAGAACTAGGTCACGTGGCCACCCGTTGGTGCAAAGTTGCAGATAAGTCCCATGAGTCAGCCGGGTGCAAATACAGAGTCCTGGTGGCCAACAGGAAGGCTGGGGGTAGCAGCCAAACACTCGGGCTGACATGGGAGCAGTGGGGCAGGTTCTGGGTTCGGACCCCGCGATTGGCGACAGCAGGCTTGGGAACACCCCTGAGCTGGAGCCAGAGTAACAGTGTCTACTTCACACACTGTCTGAAAAGTGCCTGGAAACAAGGCCCAGCGTTTAGATGTCCGTTAAATGGTAATCTGTATTTTCATTCACCAAAGACTATGACCGAGCAGTGTCTGCTCAGGACAGGTGCCCAGTATTTTGCTAAAAAATGTCACTAGCAGGAAGGTGGAGACAAGACAGGGGAATCTCACCTAAAAGCCTGAATGGTTACTTTTAGAAAGGAGAAACCCTACACCAGGAGTGCTGCTTAAGAAAATACATTCCCCTATACACGCGTGAATGTACCCCAATGCTCACATGAGGGAGGTGACAAAATATTGTAGTCACTAAGTCCACAGTGGGCGGCAGGCCACCGCTGGAAGCTAACATTCTGGTTAAGCCTCCCAGCAGTCCTTTGACATAGGTATGGTTATTAGCCCACTTTAATGAAGTTGAGGTTCAGAGAGGTTTATGCACTTGTTGAAGGACACACAGCTTGTGCTACTGTGATGCTGCTGTGTCCTTCACTGCTGCCTGCAGGGGACTAAGATGGCAAGGTGGGTGGAAGTCGAGATAGCCAAGCTTCTGCCCCCGGCTCACAGGAAGAGTCTGGGAGCCCTGCCCACACTCTACTCCACGGGCCGGACAGAGGAGCCAGCCTCAGACTGTGGTTTTTCTCCCAACTCCCAGAACAACCTACCCCAGCCCCCCCTCCCCTCTCAGCCCTGTCAGCATTTAACCTTTGGGTCCCACAAAGGAAGCTCACATCCCACAACTGTTTCGTGGGCTATAATCCTGGCTAAAGTTCACTCCTTGGGAAATCCAGCGTCGGGGGTGGTTGTTGCTGGAATGTGTGTGGCTGGGACCCAGTGTCCCAGCCCAGACAGCAGCCTCCGCTGAGGCCACGAAGAAAGCAGGCAGCCAGGGGAGTCAGGAGCCCCAGCCCCCAGCTGTGCCAGAGAATGGAATGCACTGCTCTGCTAGGGTGTTGAGACAGACCGGGCCAAGGAGGGACAGGGGGTGCTGGGCGCTGGGGGGGGGCAGCGGGGGCTGGGGCAGCTCCAGCCACAAGGCTGCCTCTGTTCCCCTGGAGGCTGAGCCCACTTCTCTAAGGTTGGGGGTGGACAGGCCCCTCCTGCCAGCTCAGTGGCTCAAAAGCTCCTGGAGCTAGTGTGGGGCAAGGCAGAGTGGAGGGGAGTGTGGCAGCCATGTATGGGCACCTGTGGCACAACTCACACCCAGCTCCTCGGCTTACGGGACGTGAGACCCTGGGCAGGTTACTGACCTCCGTCAGCCTCCAGTTGCTCACAGTGAAGTGGCGCTAATTACAGCACCTAGCTTTGGGGATTGTCACAAGGTAGAACATGAGACAATGCCCTCAGCTTGGGGCCGGGCACAAGTGCTGAACAAACGCAGGTCTGAGCGCTATGCCAGGCCACCAGCTGCAGCACGGATGCTGGAGACAGATAAAAATGGAGGTTCATCTGGCTTCACCTCCAAAAGCCGCTGGTCAAGGACTGCAAATCCTTAAACCCTCAGGAACCACCATCAGTTCACGGTCAAGCTCTCTGGGGGCTGCTCCCCACCATTACCCAACCATGACAAGCCTTCAACCCAAGCCAGGCTGAGGGTGCTGGCTATGGACCCCTGAACTGCCCTGACAGGTGCCAGGAAGGCAGCAAGAACCTGGCTACCATCCCCCACCCTGGTTGGCTGTACCTGAGAACAAACTGGGGTCGTCTTTTGAACCAGGCACCAGTTGTACAAAGGGCAGTTTCCCTTCAGGCCACCCCCACCCCCCCACCTGCGTTCAGGTCTCTCCGAGCTGCTGCCCTCACCAGCTTAAGGCACAATCCTATCGGGGCCTATCGCTCTTCAGCTCTGTTTTTGCGGTGCTGCCTGCACTTGAGAGTTGCCCACCTCTGGCCAGCTCTTGAGGCCCTCACACGCTCCCCCCGGGCACACCGAGGTGGCCCACCAGCCTCCCTCTGTGAGGCCACTGACCCCAGTTGATAGAAACCGTGTTTCTCACGCCCTGGTATCCAGCCCCACTGGCTCCTGGCACTTCGCCATTATGCATTGTTTGCATTTTCCCTAAGTAAAATGATTTTGACTACGCTTTTTCAAACTACACGCTGGCCTTTCACTCAAATTCTTTCCTGAATAATAATCTTAGATTATGCTCTGGTTTAAAAAAAAAAAAAAAAAGACAAAGTCGCTGTTCTAAGCCATCCAGGGCAGAGCTGCCTGTTCTTTTCCAGACAATTGGATAATAGTCACGAGTTAGCATTTCCTGCCTGCCTCGAGTGGACAGTCGCATTTATTCCTCACAGCAGCCCTGTGAGGCAGCTGTTCCTGTCACACCCTTTTTGCAGACCAGGAAAGCAGCTGAGAAAGGCTTGGGGGCCACGCCCCCGTCACGACTCACTCCAGCACGGCTGGCCGATGGTGCCGGGGCCAAGTGTGGGCATGCAGGTGCTGCCGCGGCTGCCCAGGGCTGTCCTCACTAATGCTGGGTGCTCCTGCCACGGGGAGTCGCTAAACACCGTGGGGAGCCTGCACCCTCAAGCGGGTGCCGTGTGGCTTCTGCTGTGAGGTGCTGGCCTGGATGACCCCAAGCATGTTCCAACTGATCCCCCATGACGTGCCCTTCCTCAGGCCTGCCGGACAGCCTTCTCCTCCCAGGCCAGCTGCTAACACCACTGTCCCCTTGGACTTCAAGGCTCTACTTTCCATCCTCCACACCCCGGGTAGCTGTTCCTTCCCACCACCAATGCTGAGGCCACTTCAGTGCTTTTTAAAGTGAACGCATTCTTCTGCAAGAAGTGCCAGGACAAGGTCCTATCTGCTTCTCCTCACTACCCCTGAGCGTTGCAGAACCCACCCAGGCCAGAGGCAGCAGGGTGCTGCAAGGCCACCCAGTGCCCAACAGGTGCACGCTACCTGTGCGAGGTGTGAGGATGCAAAACCAGGATAGGACATCTCATACAGGCCCCACCTACCATCCGAGAGACACGCTCACCTGGTCTGCAAAGTGCCTGCGCGGCTTTCACAGACACAACTTCCCTGCGCTCCAATCTCCTGAACCTGTAAAGTGGAAACAGGGCCTCCCTCATACAGCCATTGTGAGGAGTACATGAGATACGTAGAACACTTACTGCCACTGCGCCCGGCCACCAGGAAACACCCTGCACCCCAGCCTTTCACGCTTCTACCTCCCATGTCACAGCCTTCGGGCGAGGGAGGGTGAGTGCAAGGACCAGGACAAAAACATAAGTAGCTTGAGGCCTCTTTATTGACAATCCGCCAAGTACACAGAAACCTTTTCATTCCTCTCCAGTGTAAGTAAACCACAGATACTCAGCTCTCATCTCTTAGCAGGACAAAGGGGCCCAAGGGAGGCGTAACACCAAGACCTGCCTGGTTCTCCAGGATGGGCACCTCACTGCCTGGCTAGACCGGTTGGCCTGGCAAGAAATCTGGCCCAGGGTGATCCAGCCGCCTCCACGGGTCTCTGCTCAGGGTAAAAACATCTGCCCCTCTGGGTTCTGGCCCCAGGCAGCCCATGACTCCAGAGAAGTGTACCAGGGTAGGAGAAAGAACCCATGCCCTTCCCACCTCCCAGTCCTCACACCACACTCTCCAAGGAACCATGCAATAAATAAATAAATACCTGGAAAAGGCAGGGTGGCTGCAGGGAAGGAAAGGTGTGAGCCCACCTAGGCTTAGGGAGGGCCTGAGTCCCTAACTGTCCACAGTGAGTGTGAAATTGCTGGAGAGAGGAGAGGAAGCCAAGTGCCACACCCCACATGGAGCCTGTCCTGTTAGGGAACAGCCCTGGAAGCTAGGCCCCAGCCCAGCAAGCAAGCACCATTTCCCAGGTGCCCAAGGCCAAAGGGGACCGCGCCTGAGGCTGAGTGGGGGCATAGGAGAGGCCAAGTGCCCGGCATCCACGTGGCGGAGCTGAGGACAGCAGAGCAGGACGGCTGAGATGCAGCGAATCAAGGTCCTGGCAGGGTGGCCAGCGTCGTCGCTAGAGCTGCTGGAGCCCCAGGCCCTGCTGAGCTTAACACTGAGGGACCCTGCCAGGCCCTCCCCTATGTGCTCTCTTCTGGCGGATGGTGGGGAAGAACCGTTTCTAGAAGTATTCTGGGCCTTACTACCCTGACAATGCCCTCTAGCAGGGAAATGAGAGCGGGTGCCTGGAGGGACATTCCAACGGCAGAGCTGGGGTGCGGCACACCTAACTAAGCCCTTCTTCAGGTTCTCCGAGGGCAAGGGCGCATCCAATGCCCAACAGGGGAAGAACTTCTTTTCCCAATGTCTGGTCTCCTAGAATTCCCAGGTCTGGAGAGAAGCCCCGATCCTCAGAAAGCCCCACCAGCAAGCAAGCCTCGCTCCCCGCAGCCCTCTAGCTCGCGTTCCCTGCGCCACCGGAGTTCATTCACAGCCCCGGACAGAGCAGTGATGCGCCAGGCCCGCAGCGGCCCCTCCCCTCTGGGGCTTAACAGCAGCCATCCCCAGCCACCCCCAGGAATGGCAAGCAGCTTCGGAACCTGGCTGGGGACAGCAAGGGCAGGAAGGGAAAGCCTACATAGCTTCGGGCCACACTTGCCCAGCACACGCCACAGGGGCTAGGGATGGGGAGGAGGGGTCACGGCAGGCCCCAGGGACGAAGCCTGCTTGGACCCCTGCTCTTCTTCTCACTTGCTCAAGGTTTGGTTACACGAGGCACACACAAACACAGTCTCCCTCTGGGCTTCTGGGGCTGAAAAAGAGGAAGAACTTGGTTAGAGGCTCCCTCGTGCCCTTTGGCTCATGGCCTCAATTCCAGAATGACCTTCTCCATACTGCAGAGCCCCACACAGACCACCCACCCTGCTGACTGAGAGCACCAGCCTGCCATTTCCATGGTACAGTTCTTTCCATGGGGATGGAGACTTCGGGGGTGATTATGCCAATAGCAGGCCTCTCCCAGGCAACCCACACATCAGAAAGTATTTTGCACCGATAAAACACCTCTAAAATGTTTGTTAAATAAAATGCCAAAGAAAAATTTCCAAACTGGGGCCCTCCTTGGTGCCACAGTGGATTAAAACACAGCACTATGAAGCTCTCTGAAACCACTGTAGCATGAGTTCAATCCCCGCGCAGGGAGCTGACCCACATGGCGCAGCAGACCTCTCCTGACCCGCCCGCTGCTCCCCTCAGCAGTGTATGTCAGTAGATCTGGCTGTTCTGCTCCCCACTCTGTCTCTGGTGAACCCCATCCCCGGCCATACCTCTGGCATGTACCCCAGTTCTTGTATGCATAAATAAACAAATCTTTTAAAAAAAGAAATTTTTTTTTTTAAAGATTTATTTATTTATTCATACAGAACTGGGGTACAGGCCAGAGATGCGGAGGGTGAGAGGATTCACCAGAGACAGAGTGGGGAGCAGAACAGGCAGATCGACGAAGTACACTGCTGAGGGGAGCAGCGGGCGGGTCAGGAGAGGTCTGCCACGCCATGTGGTCACCTCTGGGGCAGGCGGGAATCGAACTCATGCGGAAGCGGCTTTAGATTCTCAGTGCTGTGCTTTAACCCGCTGCGCCACCAGGGAGGGCCCAAAGAAATGTTTTAACTGGTTATCCCGGGTGGCAAATCACAGGATTATTTTTCTCTTCCTTCTCCGTACAACGATTTGCAAATCTTCCTGAATCAGCGCATGTTACTTGCTTGACTAAAGAGATGTAAAAATAAAACCTAACTGAACGGACATTTACAAAGCAGCGCTTAAACCAAGCTCCCCACGCCTTCCGCCGCGCTGTGCGTGTGCTGCGCGTGAGCAGCTGGCGCCGGGCCTCGGCTGGCGCTTCCCTTCGCTGATCTGCACGCTGGCTTGTGCTGACAATGAGGATGTCTATCATTTCTAAAAGGGAAACGTTATTGTCTCATTTTGTGAAAAGCGTTCCTGAGATAATAAGAAGAAAGCTGTCATTCAGGACGTTGCCTCTGCTGGGCAAGGCAGAAGCAGAAGTGGGAAGCCTGGGTGGTGTGCCTGCGCTCTAACTTCTAGCGTTAAGCGGCAGTCACAGGCAGGCCTTGCTACGGACACACGACGTATGTTCTTGCGCAGGCATCAGACTTTTCAGGGTTTCATTTTATAAGGGGCGACGAGGGCTACCAGAGGCCAGAATCCCAAGTTCCCTTGCCGTCTCACTGACCCATGCTCCTTTGCCACAATGCGGCAGTCCCTTAGAGGGGCAGGACCTGCCAAGCCCTCCCAGCGCCCTGACCCCCACCCAGTGCCCCACGCACTCACCTGTGGCCCCCATGAAGGACTTGGGCACCTTGAAGGAGCAGCACCGAGAGCAGAAGCTGTTCCCACAGTTACTGCAGTTCCGCTGCCAACAAGAGCCCAGGTCAAAATGAAACACACCTCCCAGCCCGGGCACCTGAAGCCCGGCCTGGCCCACCTCCTTCCCGCCAGCTGACCCCACCTAGGGAGCTGGGGACACTACGGGCCTGGGGGGGACCCAAACAGGACAGAGAGACCAAAGGGCCAGCCCGGGAATGCTGGCAAAGCTACGCGCTCAGGGGCCGGGCGCCCACTCCTGTGAGCAAACCTCGGGTCCCAGCCCCCACGTGGCCAGACTTCGTGGGTGGCTTGATGCATCTCATCACAAGGCCCCGAACACACACCCGAGGAAACTTACCCTCTTCTTCAGCACTGAGAAGGTGGCCGAGCAGCCCGTACAGCTCCCTGAGAAACAGAAGCAGCAGCTAGCCTTGACCCAGCCCTGGCCTCTCAACTCCCGCCTGCTCCTGGCTCCTCTAAATGGGGCACTCAGGACACCATCCAGCCCAGACGCCCTGGCCGGGAGCACAGTCCAGATCTGAAGTCGCAGGAAGATCAAACAGGAGAGGGGAAGCTGACCGCCACTGGGGACCCCAGCCGCCACAGTGCCCGCAGCTGCCAGTCCCTGCACCCTCCAGGGCGCAAAGGCCCCACCCTTGGTTCTGCTCCCGAAACCAGTGAGATCCAGTAGCATCCAGTCCCAGGGTCCTGGACAATGGCGCCCACCGTGGCAGTGGCTCCAGTAACCTCAGACGCAGCCGGCCTGACACAGAGGAACACAGAAACGCCTCCTAAACCCCAATGCCCAGCCTCCGGGGCAGCACTGTGCCTCCCGGGCTGCGGCGGGCCAGGTGCAGGGCACCAGGTGTCGCCTCCACACCAAGGCCCCAGAGCCACCCTGACCTGCGGCCCCTTCCTCTGTGCGGCCAGAACCACCTGCGCCCGTGCTGAAGGAGACTCCTCAGGTTCAAGGAAAGAAGGCACAAGCCAGAGCAAGGAGAGACCTGGAGCCCAGGTGCTCAAGGTAAATGCTGCCGTCGGCCTGTGACGGCAGCTGCAAAGGCAAAAAGAACACGCTGGTGCCACCGCGGCTCCTGGCCTGTGGGAGCTCCGCTGGCAACGCAGCAAAGAGCTCGAGAACACCAGTCCTGAAGGACAGGGCGCCAAGAGGGGCTCAGGAAAAGCAGCATTTCCTGCCCACGCCCTCCGCGAGGGACCTTCACTCGTCCTGACAGGGTTATACGAACCAAGAACCAAACACAGGGAAGACAGGCAAACTTTAAAACCAGGCACTTCCGACACTGGGGCAGAGGGGGTGGGAGTTAGAGCACAAGAGCCTGATCGGACCCTCCCTGGTGGCGCAGCCGGTTAGAGCGCCACGCTGCCAGCTGGCCACAGTGTGAGTTCCATCCCCGGCCCCGGAGCTGACCCCCATGGCGCGGCAGACCTCTCCTGACCACCCGCTGCTCCCCTCCACAGTGTATTTTAGTACATCTGCCTGTTCTGCTCCCCACTCTGTCTGTGGTGAATCCTCTCACCACCCCTGCACCTCTGGCCTGCACCCCGGTTCTGTATGCATAAATAAATCAATCTTTAAAAAAAAAGCCTGATAAAGTGTCCTGAGTTTGAGTCAAATCTCAACCATGTATTGACTGAAGATTTTCAGCAAATGCTTTGACCTCAGGTTACCCACCTGTAAAATGAGAAGGAAAGGCTATCTAACAGCCTTTACTTCATATTCAGATACAGGTGAATCATCTGCCAGAGCAGAAATATCAATGCTTGCCCAGTGTGTCACCTGGGACTTGTGGAAGCCAGCTGCTTCCCAGTCTGTCACATCTACCAGCCGGCCTGCTGCTGTCACATCAACCAGCCAGTGGAGCTGGAAGCACACAGAACCCTGTGCCACACAGAAGCCAGAGAACAGAAGGCACCTTGAATTCACACACAGAGAGAAGCAGCATGGCCAGCGCCTCTGAGCCTGAGAAGACAGCTGCACTGGTCGCTGCAGGGCCAGGAAGGCAGGCCTCCGGATGCCCAGCTCAAAGTCCTCTGCATAATCCCCAGAAGCTTCTCGCAGGAAGGGCACAGGACCCAGAACTCACCCCCACAGAACACACAGGACAGCCACACAGCTGACGCCCAGCAAGTCCCGAGGCAGCTGCTTAGGGCGACTCTAGGCCCCCTCATAGCCGCCCTGCCTCGGCTCTTGCTCGATGACAGTCAAATCCCCCCTTCTCCAGAGTACCTGTCTTCACCACCCTCTGCCCCTCAATAAAACAAGGTCTGACCAATCAACAGTCTTGGCTGGAGAGAAGCAGATGGAGGATTCTACCACACTGGAAAGATATTGTTTGTTTCAGCTTGCTTCCACCTGGACTGGAAAGATCCAGAGGCTCCTGGAAACCTGAGGGATGGACCAGGGCCTCCAACACCAACAGTGAGTCTCATCCAAGTTGCTGCTACAACCCAGCTAGCACCACGCTAGCATTCACTGTTATCTCACCTACCGATATAACCACCCTGTGAGAAGGGGAAACTGAGGCAGAGTTAAGTAACTTGCTTCAACAGGCAGAGCTGGGATTTGCACCAAATTCTACTCTGCTCCCAACCATTACATGGCACAACCTTCCGAGGTTCTGCCTGGCTCAAGATTAAACCTCCCTGCAGCCCTGAGGTGCGGTGTTTCCAGAACTGACGGCCTCATCTCCCCACAAGCTAAGCCCCATCAAAGACTAAAGGAAAGCCACAGCCGCTCGCTCATCAGGCCTGAGCACTGCCCTGCCCAGGGCCCCAGAGAATGAGCACTGCTCCATGCTCTTGTCACGATGCCCAGACCCTGACCCCAGTGCAGGGTGCCCCCCCCATTCTGCTCCCTGGGGGTACCGAAGTTGTTGGTGGGGTAGCGCTTGCGGAGCCGCTCTGTGAGCCGCGACACCTTGCTGCGCAGCACCTCGTTCTTGCTCAGGAAGCCGTTGTCCTGCAGGACCAGCTCATCCTCCGCTGGGCACGGGGCGCACTCGTCATCCTCCTGTGGGGACAGCGCCTTCTAGCTCTGCCTGCCTCTCTGCAGGGCTCTGGGACCTGCGTGCAGAAGCGTCCCGGCACAGCGGACCCTCAGGCGACAGCTGGCTCAGCCACCCTGCCCCACCCAGCCCCTGCCCACCTCACCAGGCTCCTACTTACCAGCACCACCAAGTGGGTCTCCTGCCTCCCAAGATGCAGGGGAGAAGGAGAGAAAACAGGAGATAGAGAGATAGCAAGGAGGAGGAAGCTGCGGGGTCCCCAGGCAAAGGGAGACACAGAATCTGCACTACTCTTGAATAGCAGAGGCCCCAGTGAAAGGACCCCAACACTGATCATGCTTGAGACTCTCTGGAAGAGGCTGTATACTACTGTCTTTTCAACTGGGTGAAATTAATTTACTGGGTTATTACTTTAATAGACTAGAACAGACCAAGACAGAAAGTATTCTTCATAATGGATTTTTCAGGAAACCTCTGCTACAGTTACATTTGCTATATTTTCCAGACATAAATGGAAACTGAGTCAAGATGTAAAATGGGCTTCTTACTGTGGGTTATCAAGAAAAACGCTTGAAAGCCCTCCTAGTTATATTCTTTGCCACCATCAGAGTCTACGAGATTCAGAGTCTACAGTCGTACGTCAACATACAATCGTGCACAGCAGAGGAGTCTCGCGGCAGTAAAGACGGCCAAGGCTGCCGTCAGCAAAGAGAGGGCTGGATGGAAATGGCAGGTTCGATGACCCCCATTTGTGTCTTGATTTCCCACTTTACAAAGTGACACAAACAAAAATTATTCCCTACTACAAGAAAAACAAAAGTACATAAGTGACAATAAATGAGCTGGGTCTTGGGGCGAGACTTGGGGTGGGGGCGGGGGCGGGAGGGCGGTGTGCGTGAGCTCTGAAGGAGACCGCCACTCCTCAGTTACTACAGAGCTATGGCGCTAACCCTGCAGACTCAGGGCTTGAATTCTGATTCCTCAGACACTGAAAATCTGTAAGAATTTTCACTGAAATCTCCATTTTTAAATACTAGCTAAAAAAAAAAAAAAACCACAACAAATTTTAAATGCCTGCACGCCAGATAAAAGATTTCTGCCACCTACTAGTCTGAACTGCTATCCTAAACTCAGGAAGACTGACTTTCTCTGACCCAGCAGCTGGCTACGCAACCACTTTCTCCAGTCTCACCTCCTTGCACCCCAAAGGGACATGTCATAGAGAGCAGTCAGAGGCCCAGGACTGAGCCTCCCCCAATCCGTGCCTCCTCCTTATCAAAGGCACTGGGCCCAGCGACTTCAGCCAAGGAAGTAAATAACGCCTTCTCCAACCCCCTCACCCCACCCCATCTCACATCAGGCATTCCCAGAGGCTTCCCAGTCATGCCTATCCCGGATACCCAGGACAAAAGAAGATTCAATGTCACCCTTCCAGCCTGTGGGTTCTAGTTCAAAACAAGCTTCAACTCCTATTTGGATAAAAAATTTCTAAAACCCAGCCTTGGGATACGAGCGGTCACATGGCTCCATGCCACCCACCTCAATGGCATCTTTAAACTCTTCATCCGGCTCAGCCTCTTCTGCCTCCTCCACGCTGCCCGGCGTGAGGTCCTGGGAAGGCAGACTCTATCACAAAGAGAGAGAGAGGAGATGAGCCCACCTCCCCAGAGCCAAAATCCAGGCTTCCCAAAATATCCGTCCCTCGCCCAGGGACAGTGGCACGACTGCAAGAAAGAAGTTGCTGGAAAGAGCATGCAACACGGCCCTCCCTGGTGGCGCAGCGGGTTAAAGCACAGCACTGAGAATCTGAAGCCACTTCCGCATGAGTTCGATTCCCGCCTGCCGCCTGCCCCGGAGGAGACCACATGGCGAGCCAGACCTCTCCTGACCCGCCCGCTGCTCCCCTCAGCAGTGTACTTCATCAATCTGCCTGTTCTGCTCCCCACTCTGTCTCTGGTGAAGCCTCTCACCGTCCCTGAGCCTCTGGCCTGTACCCCAGTTCTGTATGAATAAATAAATCTTTAAAAAAAAAAAAAGAAAGAGCATGCAACAGCCCAGCAGGCGGGAGATGGGGTGGACGTGGAGGGCGGCCGAGAGTGCCGCTCCCGCCACCTGGAGCAGCCAGCCTGCCGCAGCCTCCGAAAGTGAGAAGGCCCTCATCTCAGAAATAACCAATACCTCACGGGGCTAGTAGCCATAAAGCACTGGGAACAGCAAAGCAAGTACTCAATAAAGCAGAAAATAAATAGAATGGCTACTATTACTGCAGTTACGACTAAGCACTTCAAAGGAGACAGGCCTGAGCAGAACTAACCCGAGGCGGCCCAGGAGCGGGTGCCATGAGGTTGGTAATGGGAAGCTGCTCGGCCTGCCTGCAGCAAGGCTGCCCCATGGCCCGGGGTACTCACCTCCGTGGGTGTGGACACAGGTGTGCAATCGAGCAAAGTGCCCTTCCCCACCGCGTCCAGAGGGGGTGGGCTCTCAAAGGCACTCTGTTCCTGCTTGGGGTTCAGCCACCGCTGCAGAGAAGCCCGGTACTCAGACACCACTGGCCAGGCCAAGAAAAAAGGGCGCGGGGTAGAAACAGAACAGAGTGAGTGGTGCTGTGGGAGAACCTACTGCAACGTGCGGCTGGCCTCTTCCTCCAACACCCCATTTTCTCCTACAGGACAGAGTTGCCCTTCTAATAATGAACAAGTCACCTAAGCCAAGCCTCATAAACAAAACAGAGACACCACCACCCATGAGATTTTTATAGAGAGATTAAATGTAGGAAGTGCCTGATAAATTTCCTCCCAACCATAGGGAAGAAAGCAAATATAACAATCACCTCAAACATATGTACAGACCAGGCCTCTGTGACTCAGGGCCTCTCCAGACTGCCTCACTGTTTCAGAAGCCAGATGGCAGAGGAGTACTCTGGGATCACACAGCTACTCCAGGTGGCTGCATCCCAGGGGGTGGGGCAGCACTGGGAAAACATCCCTCCCTCACCTCCCAGAGGCCTCGGTAACATGTAAGCAGTGATTCCCCTGCCCTGGAAAGGGAGGGGACTCCTAGGCAGCAGCCTCTCTGTATCCCAACAACCCAAGCCAGTGAGGTGCTGCCCCCTGCTGGAAGCACAGCAAACAAATGATCTGCTAGGAAGAAACCAGGGCGCCTCACTGGCCCTCAGTGTGGCCCAGCCCTCTGTCTGTCAAGCACCCAGGGCTTACCTCGGAAGAACTCCACATTCCCCAGAAAAAGTGTGCTGTTTAAGAGGGTGAGGACCCAGCACAGCGGCAGCAGATACAGCATGCAAACCGTGCCCAGCAGCGCCCCATAGAACCTGGATCAACAGAGAGGAAGACAGGATCAGCAGTGCATAAGATCAGAAGGAAGCCTATTTGGAGCACACACCCGCACAGCAGCCCTAGCAAGACAGTTCTGGGCAGTTAGTGAGCAGCCCAGGTCTGCTCATCTAACATGAGGGAGCTAAAGCAATGAGGAAGGACTCCCAACAAGCCACTGGCTAACAACCCACACTGGTCGGGCTGCAGGCTGCATGTAAAGCGACCCAGTCTGCAGGCTCCGGACTCTGAAGCCCAGAATAAGACAGACTTGGATTTGAATCCAGCTCTGCCTCTTCTTGCCGTGTGAGCTCAGACAAGCCCCTTAGCTCTTGAGAATTACTGCCTACATGTGTGAAATGGGGACTAAAGTAGCGCCTGCCTACCTCATGGGTTAACTACATAGACAGAGCTCATTCATGGAAAGTGTCTGGCCCCAAGGGGAAGACTGGCTGAATACTTGTCTTCATTATTATTCATAAATAAAACCTCAAAGACATCACCCCGTTTAATCCAGTAGTTCTCAGGACTTATTCTAAGAAGAAAATTCGAAAGATTAAAGTAAAATGCACTACAGGGCAAGCAATAAAGTAGAAGCCAGCTAAATGTATTAGGAGGATGGGTCCGTGTATTACGTGACCTTCACCATCTGTATTAATCTGATATTACAGATAGTCCCAAAGGGATGTAGCAACAAAGAAACCTATTTGTGATATAAGGGGGGGAATCTCACATACACCACGAGCCTATCTATCTACGAAGCACACTTGACCCTTAAACATTGCAGGGAGGGGTAGGGACACCCACCCCCAAACAGTCAAATATCTGCATACAACTTCTGATTTTCCCAACACTTAACTCGAGCCACAGCACACCTCCCATCAGATACCGAACTGCACAGGTGCACAAGTCCCTATCGTTGGCCTCCTCATCCAAGGGTCCTGCTTCTGCGGGTCCCGCTGCCTGACACCTGCCGACGAGGGAATGCGGAACCCCTGGACGTGGAGGCGCTGTGCTTATTGAAAGTAACCCAAGTATGGGTGGCCCCATGCAGTTCAAATGTCTGCGAGACCAGGGCCACGTGTACATATGACAAAACTCCAGCAGGATGATCCCAGCAGGAGATCGGCTGCTACACCAGGGAGAGAGAGTACATAGTGAGTTACTCTGCTGTTATTAAAATAATTTCCACACATAAAAGAAGGCACATAAGCCCATAAAACAGGGCACCCATGCCCCTGCGTCTGTGTGACTGCACACCAGGGCCTTGGAGCGTCTCTTTGCCTGAGGTACTGGGGTAGGACCCTCTCAAGACAGCTGGCCTGGGGGGGGCTCAGTGACCAATTCCTCTTGCACACCGGGGTGGGAGCGGAGGGGCCACTCACTGTGAGGACACGACGGGGTTCTCCCAGTGCAGCACACGGTAGACAGCCTCGCAGGTGCCGCACAGGCGGCTCAGGAAGGCCTCCAGCTGGATCAGACTGCAGACAAGGGACCTGGTGAGCCGCACGCCCTGCTGCCCAGCGCCTGACAAGGCTCTGGGGCAGAAGGTGCAGCTGGCTCGGGGTGGCCACAAAGGGATAAGGGGGCCTGGAAGAAACTTCTCAAGTCCCCATTTTGTAGGCTGCTGAGGTGGAAACCGGACCAAGCTTCCTGCTTTGGTCTCTTCCAGCTATTGACGTTGGTGGGTTGGCTGCCTGATTTTTCCACAGCTGCAGTCTCATCAATAAAATATGAGTGAGGGCCCCCACCTCACAGACATACACCATGTCAGTGAGGGTAACTAGCAGGGTGTAGATCACCGTGTCTCCACTTGGGATATAAGACAGACTCATGTGGAGAAGCTTTAGTTTTGGTTTTTAATGATGCACCCCCAGAAACAATGAGCACAAGATCTGCACCCAGATCTTGGTTTCTGCAGGGCCCTTTAAGAAATGGTTGACGCTGGGGCTAGGGTACAGTAACTGTAAGAAGAGTGTGAACATTCTTTTGTCCCTTAAAGTAAGGAAACACTCAAAACTTATGAGGGCGCATAAGAATACAGGAGCCAATTCAACAGACCTTCTCCTACTAGTCAAAATCTAGCACATGTGATCCAACAAATAACGGCAGCAATGAACAGTCATTCCACTTAACAGCAGGACATGTGCTGGGAAGTACCCCCCTCAGCTGCTGTCACTAGGTGAGTGTCTGAGAGGGTACGGCCACTACACACCGGGCAGTGTGGTCCAGCTGCTGGCACCACTATCACAGGTGGTCCTTCGTTGACCAAAATGTCATTCAGCTGTGCATGACTATACAACCCACTGAATTAAACTAAAACTCTGAGTTCATTTGATAACCAGAAGGAAAAGTTCTTTCTTACAATGGAATGCCAGTTAATAATGCCAACTAGAAAGCCACCTTTGCAGCCATCATACAAATAAATTGATGATGGGAAGGCCCCTGAGGATTTAAATGCAGTGCGTGCATGTTTGATAAGGAGCAAGATATTTACAAAGTCTCAAAGTACCCACCCCTCAAATTACTAACTCTAGAGGGTAAAGTGGAAACGCCTGAACTAAGTGGCCCAAGTTGGCATGTCCATAACAAGACAACGATATCACAGACATCGGATATGACAAAATAATGGCATGTCACTTATCATATTCCTACCAACAATGCATCTAATCAACCCACAAACTGAAGGTAAGTCAACAAAATAAGCTTGTTCTACTCAAAAATGTCATAAGAAACAAAGATAGGTAACTAGCCCAGGTCATGGCAGAATAAAGAAACATAAAAACGAATGTAACTTATGAGCCTGGCTGGCTCCACTTCAGGGGAAACTGATATAAAAGACCTTATTAAAATAACCAGTGAGGTTTGACTGGGAGTTGAATATCACAATAATCCAATTCAGTTCATGCTGTCAGTGCTAAATTCCCTCATTCTGTTTGGACTGTGGATACAAAAAAGAATGTCCTTGTTCTGGGGAAATACACACTGAAGTATTTGAGATAAAGAGGCAAGATGTTTGCAACTTACTTTCAAATAGTTCAGAAAGGGGAAAAAATGTATGTGTAAAGAGATAGATGAAGCCAGAGTGGCAAAATGTAACACCTGTTCCCTCTGGGGAAAGGGTAGATGGGAGTTCTTTGTATTATTCTTGTAATTCTTCTCTAAGCTTAAAGTCATTTTAAATTAAAAAGGGTTTATTAAAAAGCACATACACACAGACACCCAGTTTTCATTCAAATAACTGACTCAGAATTTCTGGGCCCTCCGTTTGTTTATTACTCTTCTTTTTGAAACTCAACTATTATGTCAAGAGAGGCCAGCCCCTGAGCTCAGTAGCGCCAGCTACCACCGTTACAGTTACTACTATTCAACAGCCCAATGGTGTTTCCCCAAAAGTACCAGATCTGTTACATTTAGGAAGTTTCTTCACAGGGTAGTGATAACTAGTGTTTACTGATCCTTCCTGGGAACTAGCCACTTCTCTGACCTTCAGCCATGTAATGGGTAAACCTATTGTTACCCCATTTAACAATAGGTTTAGATGAGGAAGCTGGGGCATAGGGAAACCAAGCAGCTTGCCCAATGTCACAGCACAAGAGTCTGAATTTGAACTCGGGCTGTGGCTCATGCATCCAGGTACTTACTCAAGACCCTAAACTATTTCTCCAGTGGGAGGAACACAAGCTGTGAAATTAGTCAGATGTGGATTCTCTTTCAAGCTGAGTAAGCCTTTTTCTTCATCCATAAATGGAAGACAGTAAAAGTAGCTACCTCCCAGAACAGTTAAAAAAGATGAAGGGAAATAACTTCTGTGGCATGCCTAACAATGCCTGGCACACAGCAAGGCTTAGCCTCGCGGCTGTTGTAACTGACACTGGCCCCCACCTCCCTGACCCTTCCATACTCACAAGCTCTTCACTTCAGCCACTGCCTCCGGGCGGGACAGGCGAACTCTCTGCAGATCCTCCTGCCTCACGCTGTGATACCTCCTCCGCATCAGCTCAGACTCTGGCAACCGAGCCCGACAAACCTCTTGAAGATAGCCCAGCAGCGCAGGCACTGAAATCACCAGGACACCCACTGAGTACCAAGCGCCTGAGGAATCAACAACACCACAGGTGAACAGGTAGCAAGGACTGGAGGCTGCGCCCACCAGCACGTCCACGTGCTCGCTCCCTCACCTCCTCCAGGGCACAGCCCAAAGGCCTCCCCTGATGCCCTGTCTGAAACAGTACCTCCCTCACCTGACAGATTATAGGTCCTGGTCATTGTCTCCTCCAAGGATGTAGTCTCTTAAGGGCAGGGGCTTTGTCCATTTGGTGGTCACCCATTTTTTTTTAACATTATAAAACTTATGCCAGCACACAGTAGGTGGTTCATGCTGGCTGCTGAAAGCTGTGTCTGACATTCTGATCTCTGAACCCATGGGACAAACCACTGTAAACTGAGAAATGGTGAGACTAAGAGAAAACTCCAAGGAACTTCTCCCATGTAGCATGGTATTCTGAAGCAAGCTAACAGCACTGGGCATACAGGAAATGCCTGGGAGTACCTGCCATCTGCGCCAACTGACTTTGAAAATATATTTAGAAAAATCAAATAGCCTGGGAAAGAAACCCAAGATTCAATCAAGTGAAAGAGCCCTACCAAGAAACAGAAGATGAAGGCTTGTACAATCTGTGCTTATTTTCAACCCCCAAGTCCCTAACACCCCAGAAAATAAAGGAGACACCTGAGACAGGTGTGTCCATGAATAAAGGACCCAGCTCTAACTCCCTTCACTCATTTCCCCTAAGAAAGTTCGGCTTTTTCTGCAGCCACCTGCCAGTTCCAACCAGGGGAAGAGCCAGGTGACAGCAAATGTTATCATAAAAGATCCGTAGGAGGCAGCTCTTCCCAGGACACCCTCAGCTACCGCCTGCCCACACATTTGCTTCAAAGGCTTCACACCACAGCCCTCTGGCTGCTGGTGATGTGCAGCAATCTCCACCGGGCTCACTTGCCGAGCCAGAGAAAATAAGCCAGACAGGGCAAGAAATCCTTAGCAGCTCCTCTTCCTGGTACTCTCACCCCATGTCATGACCTTAGATGACCACTGAATCAGCTGGGAACCCAAACTGGAAAAAGAGCTCAAGTGTCAGCAGTCAAGAAGGAAACAATGACAATTACTCTAATGTAGTGCGACCTACTCTGTGTCAGGCACTGCGTAGCGCTACCCATGGGTTATCTCATCCTCCCAACTACCCTCTGTGGAAAGCACTGGTATTATCCTCCCTTTAGAGAAGACGGGAAATGGGCCTGGGGACAGATTAAAGAACTTTCCAAAGGTCACCCAGCAGCCCAGTCGGGGCTCTAACCGGTGCCTGTGTGCTGACACCGAGCAGACAGAGGGAGACCGTGGCCAGGCCCAGGGGATTTGGAATCCCTCCCCAGTAGGTTGACAAAAGCCCCTGGGCCTGGGAAACAGTTCTTACCCTCATTCAAAGTGAGGAACAAGACGTTGAGGCCCAGGCAGGTCAGCAGGGAGCACAAGGGCGTCTGCCACCTAAAACACAGAAAGTCCAGTCATGAGGACAGCCGTGCCACCAGCTGGGCAGAGCGAGGGGCCGGCACAGGAGGGACATGGAAACCCAGAGTGCGGGGCCCTGGCGGTCACGGAAATGAAAAGGGGCTCTCTCACTCAGACAGGTGACTGGGAAAAGAGTCGATGTGACAGATTAGGCCCCGGGGTGAGAACAGATATCTCCTCAGAACTAAAAAACCTGTAGAGTTGTTTCTAGAGGAAATAGAATTCATAACAATATGATAAGATATACAGCTAACTAAGTTTTTTGTCAAGGTTCTGTTTTCTGTAAGAGGTGACAATCACATGCTTCTTTTAAAATTTTCCTTTATTCTCATTTACAATTCCACAAGGACATATCCTCATGGTAAAGACTGAGCTAAAGTAATAATTGAGGAAACAAAATGCAAAGGAGTTCTTTCATCCCGTTTATGACTTTCTCTAATTTTCAGAGTTTGAGAGCTTGTTTAAAATATATATTATTCAAAAGAGGGAAAAATAATAAAGACAGTATTTTCATAGTTACAAGTGAAGACAAACTAGGGTGTAGCATTCTCTCAGCAAGCATGCCCTAAGTGAGCTGGAAAGGATGGAACACAGACCCAGCCTCCACCACCACCAAACGGTGAAGCAGAAAGCCCGCAAAGAGGAAGAGCTAAGACCAGAGGCTCCGAGTGCTGAAGGCTAGAAACACACTGGCTCAGGCCCTGTAAAGGGCACTTCACAGGGAAGAAGGGAGGCAGAGTAATAATGAATTCCCTGAGGAGCGCCACATCTGAGGAGTGAGAAATTGAAGAATAAACACAGAAGTAGCTGGCAAGCAATGTTCTCAGAACTTATGTGTATTTTCTTTTGCTCTAATTGGGGTATTTCAGTTATTAAATGAGAATGACTAATGAATATATTTTTATTTTTTAATAGAAGTTATGAGTAAGGGAATGAAGTGACCTCTCTGTCTTTAAAACAGACAGAACTAAAGGTCTTAAAATTCAGCACAGTCCACATGTGCCACCCTAAGGACCATCTAGCAGTAGCTACCAGGGTAAAAGCAAATTAAAAGTCAGGTCTAAATCCCTCTTCAGAAATTAAAACATCACACAGCCACTGACGCTGCTTCTGTTTCAACGCCTCTCCCATTCTGATGTCTTTTCTGACATTTTCATTGTAGGAGCTCTACCTGCTGGAGGAACTGACCCCAGAAGAGAAGAGTCTGAAAAATCTACTGCACCTCTAGGCTTCAGACCTTATAGCCAAAGCACAAAATTAGGGTCCCTCTTTGAAGTCAAATTCTTTTTACTTAGAAAAGAACAATCAAAAACACAAACTAATCTGACAGCCACTTTCACAGACCAGTGCTCCGTCTCCCAGCTGTGTGGAGACCGCAAGCTCCTGGGGGCTTTTAGGGCCCAATGCTCCTCCTCCCTCCAGCTTTAATCAATCCCACCACATCCCCAGATTTCTAATTTCATAAAATGGAAAAACCCTAATACATTAATGCCAAAAAGACTAATAGACCAGTGGTGGAAAAGAAGGGCAGGATATATTTAACTTTTGTGCTCTGCCACAAAAGAGCAAAACACACACACACACATACACACCCACACACATCTACATTGCTCATCTCAACAGATAAGGTCAACTATTAAAGGAGTTCCAGAGTGAATAAGAAAAATGTAGGGCCTTGGTCACTACATTTAAAAGTAATCTACTATTTAGAAATACTACTATTACTATTTAAAAATAATCACCCCCTTCCACTATTTCCAGACTGAGAGAAGAATGAATACTCAGTAAAGTATTCATTAAACCTGTTGCCTTTCAGGCATCTAGAGAGCTGAAGGTCTTTATGAGGATGCAATGGAAACTAGAAGTTTCTCCCCAGCACTACACACGTGTGCACATACAACTTTACATGCCATTTCAGAACACTCACAGAGGCCCACAGGAACACTCACAGCTCAGGGCTGACCTACTGTGTTAGCATCAGGACTCGTAACAACACAGTATTAGGAGCCTGCGGCCTTTGCCAAAGGGGGAAAGAAGCTTTAACTTGAACCTAAAAAAGATTAACTTAAATCTAATCCAATTTATAAACCTAATGAGAAATAACCAGACAGATCTAAATGAGAAATTCTTCAGGACAGTCAGCCGAGTCTCTCCCGGAAGACAAGTATGAAAGAGACCGTTTTGATTACAAAAGACTTAGGGAGGTGCAGCCTTGACTGGACTTGGGCAAAACAAACATCCTTCAGACAACTGAGGAAATCTCAGTGTGAACTGGGCATAAGGTGATATCAAGGAATCATTGTTAGTTTTGCGACATTTGTTACTTTCTTTTTTAAAAAATCACTATTTGAAAACAAATGAAGTATTTGGAGAGTGAAATGGCATGTATCTGAAAACACTTTAATATAAGTGAGCTGAAAGGAGAAAAAAGAGAATCACAGAGGAAGAAAACCAAAATAGTAGGAAAAAAGTATGAAGTCCATAATCATAAATTAGGAGAAATGATAGTTGCTTATTCATAGGTATTTATATTTCCTTAATTTATGCTAAAAACTATACCCCAATTTTAACATTGGTGTGCCAGTATTAGAAGGGGAAAAAAATCCTGCTCTACGACGAAATGGAAGGCCCGGTGTTGGGGGCTAGTTAGCAACCCTAAGGAATCAGCTACAAAGAAACCCTGGGGAAAGGCCAGAGGGCTCCCATGCCTGCCACTCCTCGGCTGGGCCTGAGACACAGGACGCCCCAGCGAACATCACAGAACCACTCTTCACACAGGCAGAAAGGACGGCCAGCCACTGCCTAAGTGAGCAGCACAGAGCAGGAAGACAGAAAGCTCAGCAGGGTAGAGGGACCCTACAAAAATCTGTACCTGAGCAAGTACCGGACACCATCACCTGCGTCCTTCAGGGGTTCCAGGTAGACCTCCAGCCTCTTGTAGGACAGAACCAAGTTGAAAAGATCAAACGCCGCTGGGGACTTGGTGGGGACAGGCAGAGCCTCTGGGGGAGCCTCGGGCACCACACTGGGGCTCACCTCCGATGCACTCCCCTCACGCTCTGATGTCTGCATCCTGTAACCATAATTGCTGACATTTGCACTGCACTTTCAATGCCCAGCGAACTTCTACTTGCATTATTTCAAGTTACGACTATAATAAACCTAGGGGACGGTAGGATTACAGGTGGAATGCCCATTTCACAGAGGAGGAAATGAGGCCCAGCAAGGTGAAGTATATTGACTCCATATAAAAACCTGCTCTTCTGACTCTCCATCTAATGCCTTTCCCCACAGACCACTCAACAGCATAACCGTAAGACCATGGGGTCTCAAGGAAAATGATGTCCTGGAATGTTTTTCTCCCATTCTTTACCTTCCGGTAACAGTTGAAGTATTACTCTCTTGTTCTGAGAGGTCTTAGACACCACCCCCGGTAGGGCCTAGGAGAACCCCCTCAATCATCCCAAAGGAACATGGGTTCAGCCACCCTAACAGCGTTTATTACACCAAAGTAAAACTCCCTACTTTCCGGCTGGTCTGCCCCTTTCACTTTGAGCAACACAAGATCAAAGACTGTCTCATTCACCTGTGTACAGTTTCATTCCCTGTATACAGTTTGTTTGTTTGTTTGGGGAGGGGGGGTGCAGGCCCGGTAATAAACACTTTCCAAGTAGGAACTGGCGCGCTGGTGCTTTTTCCTCCCCCGCCACACCTGTTCCCAACAACTCCCTGCACCATCACTGCCCATCACCACAACCTTTCCCGTTCTTAAACCCAATGGGCAGCCATCACCTTCCAAAACGATTCATTTCCCAACTCCCCCCAATGAAGCGGCTCGTCAAGGGAATGCTCACCCGCTTTCCTAATTTCAAAGTCCTAACCCAAACGCTAAGCTGAAAAGTTGAGGGGGTGGGACCTCAGTACACACAGCAACACCAACCAGACTCTGGCAATGGGGGGTGACCAAAGGGAGGGCGCGCTGGGGGGCGTGTGACAAAGACCAGGGAGCCCGGTCCCTTGGGGGGCGCAGCTAGAGCGGGCGCCCGGTAGGCGCCCAGGAAGGGGTGCGGCAGGCCAGCGCCCGCAGAGGCCCGGATCACCACCTCCACAGCCCAGAAGCCCGACGGGGACCCTGCGGCCCCGACCAGGGGGGGTACGCCCAAGATCGCCGGGCCATCAGGTGGCGGCCCACGCGGCGCCCCAGCGCCCTGCTCCGCACCGGCGGCGGAGACACCGGGGTGGGGAGGGGGTGGCACCTCACCTACCCGGTCGCTGGGCTGGTGGGGGAAGGGTGGGGACGGCCGGGGGGCACGGGTAGGGTTACTGGGCCCCCGAGCGTTTGCTCAGGCCCGTCCCACCCCGACTACGCGCCATTTCCCAGGGCCGCCGCGAAGACAGAGGTCTGAGCGCCTCCTACGCCTCCCCGGCCGCCGCTGCTTCCGGGACGCGAATCGCTCTGCGGCGGCGTGCCCGTGATGTCATCGCGTCTGTCCCGCCTCCGGCCCCACCCCCGGGTTTAGCTCCGCCCACTCCGCCCAGGTAGGCACCCCGGACTGCACAGCGCGGCTGAAATGTTCCAGCAAGGAACACTTGGGAAGAAGCAAAGCTGAAGAACTCACGTGGCTACCCCAATGTTGGCTCTTTGCTAACCACCTCGTGAGCCCACGAAAGACAAATCACATCCTGCATGCCAGATGCCTGGCAGGAAATGCAGCCTCAGTGTTTCCTCAGTACCTACTGTGTGCCAAGCCAGGTGCAAGCGTCCCGCATTCAATTCACTTCTCACCGTCTTGCATGCTTCGAGGACTAAAAGAGACCGACACTGGACTAAGCCCTCTCTGGGCAGTATCTTGTTATCCACTATCTACATGATGGCCTCCAACAACCCTATGAGGGCTAGGTCATGTTACAAATGAGGAATTTGAGACACGTTGAGGCACTTCAAGTCACTCAGCCAATAGACAACTGGGAGTTGGAATGTGAACCTCAAATCATCTGACCCCGTGCCCCAGACATACCACCTGAATCTGCATTTACTGCCCTCATGCAGGCCCCTGTCACTCCCCTTCAGCAGCTCCTTCACCCAGCTGAACTTCTCCGTTGTCTTCAGTGTCCCTGGCACTCTGAGCGCCCTACATTGCTTGTGCTGTGAGCTCGAGGAAGCATGTCCTTTCCTGACTTTTGCTTCAGTCCAAAACCAACTCATTACTCTACACAAGAGTCAGATGTCTGTATCCCTTCCGTGATTACCCCAGCTGGAAGTAATCACTTCCCCCTCCAAACAGCCTGAGTGTGGAAAGATCCAAATCACACACTCGTACACCCCACGAAGCTATATTCAGAAATCCCCCCTAACTTAGAGGAATAGTCCTGGCTTTGTGACTGGGCTAAGCTTGTCTGCTGGCCAGTCGCTCCTCCTTTGTGATAAATCTAGAAGAAGTGTAAACTTCCAAAAATCCCATTCTCATTAATTTCCTCCAAAGGTAAATTTCAGAGGTTTTTGTTTGTTTGGGAATCCTTCCCCCTTGGGTCTGCATGGACCACTAGCTCGGGCTGGTAGCTACACTGGCTCTCTCTTCTAACAGTTAAAGAATTAAAGGGTATTATCTAGCAGACTTGGAGGGGAGGGGACGAGTGTTGGAGGATACCAGAAGGTTTAAATACCTTCTTTAAAGGGCCAACAGTCATGGTCAAAACAAAGTGCGAACTAAGTAAGACCTTTCCTGGCCATTAGAAAGTAGGCAGCTGAATTCTGCTTCCTGGGCACTCACTCTAATCTTTTATTATTGGGTTCTCCTATTCCTTCCCCAAAATCTGAATATTCACTTTTTGATACGAATTTTGGTATCACTGATGTTTTTCCCTTGAATAGCACCTAGGTGGAAGAGACTAAGGGAGAACATAGATAATTGATACCTTACTTTGATATTGTTCAAAGGTTAGTCTTTGCATCTATAAGGGAGGATGTGTATGGCTCACATAATTTACTCATGAACCTCACTGTGTCTCTTGGAGAAATAGTAGGGGAAATGCTGGCTAAGACTGGCCAAAAACAGGCGTCACCTGACGAGAAGGAACTGTCTAGGCCACGCCTTCCTCCACCAGATGGCGCCCTCGCCCACTCTCACGCAGACGGGTTTCAGAGACAGCTCTAAACTGAATTTCTGATTGTGGTCTCTGATGTCACCATTTCTACAATATACCACATCTTTTCATATTTCCAACTGTATTCATTTTCATTCTTTTAGCTCTACTAATTATCTCTTGCTGTGTAACAAATTATTCCAAAACGTACTGACTTGAAACTGTAATAACTATTCTTTCACATTGCTTTTTGGCTTGTAGGTGATTTTGGTCAGAAAATCCGAAGGGGCTTACTAGGATGTTTGGCTGGGGGAATGGGGGGAGCGGGGGGTAAGGGTGGGAATGGGAGGTTGTGAGGTTACGGTCAGATGTTGGTCTCCGCTGGCTTCATCTGAAGACCCGATGGACCGACTCCCCCCGGGGCTCTCTCAAATGCAGACAAGCCGATACAAGCATCCTTATGTTGACAGACTGGCAGAGTTTTCCGTTCTTCACTCAGGACTCTCCAGAAGGCATCGTGAGTGTCCTCACCTGGTGGCTGAGTTTCCCCATAGGGACACCCACGGGTCTTGTCTTGTACATCCTTAGAAGTCAGGCACAGTCATCTTCACAATATGCTACTGATTTATACCTCAGAGCTGGTCGGTGATGCAGTGCATGATGGGGTAATCCAAGAGTGTGACTTCCAGGAGGTATGGGTTAGTGGAGACGCTCTGCCATGTGTTAGCTTGGAATTCCTATCCCCTGCCACCTGGCCTTCTCCCTCCTTTCCAGCTTAAATGCCATGTCCTTTGCAAAGCCTTCTCCTAATAATTCCTTACCTCCTCTTCTGTGTTTATGTAGAATTCTGGCCCCTCTTTATTAAGCATCTTTCACTGTGCACTTTAATTTATCTCTAAACATGGCTGAGCCCTGAGATCCTAGGAGCTGAGAAACTGAAACAAGAGCTTGACAGGTTCCACCAGATGGAGAGCCTTGGCATAGTAAGTACATGGATGTTTTTTGTTTTGTTTTTTTTTTTTAAAGATTTATTTATTGGTGCATACAGAACTAGGGTGCAGGCCAGAGGCTCAGGGGTGGCGAAAGACTTCACCAGAGACAGAGCGGGGAGCAGAACAGGCAGATCGACGAAAGTACACTGCTGAGGGGAGCAGCGGGCTGGTCAGGAGAGGTCTGCCACGCCATGTGGTCATCTCCGGGGCAGGCGGGAATCGAACTCATGCGGAAGTGGTCTCAGCTTCTTAGTGCTGTGCTTTAACCCACTGCACCACCAGGGAGGGCCCATGGATGTTTTTTTTTTAAATAAATGAATACCATTTAAAACAAATGTTGCTGAGGTTCTGGAGAAACTGGAACCATTGTGTACCAGTAAATATACAATCACGATGGAAAACTGTAAGGTGGTTTCTTAAAAGACTGGTATCCCTGGTGGTGCAGAGATTAAAGACAGTGCTATCAAGCTATCACTAACCACTGCAGCACAAGTTCGATCCTGGCCAGCCAGGGAGCTGACCCACGTGGCACAGCAGACCTCTCCTGTCTTGCCCACTGCTCCCCTCAGCAGTGTGTTTCAGTACATCGGTTCTGCTCCCCACTCTATCACCTGTGAACCCCAAATCCACACACACACACACCTCTAGCCTATAACCCAGTTCTTTCCTGCAAAAATAATAAATCTGTTTTAAAAATTGAATATAGAACTACCAGAGGATCCAGCAATGCCTCTCTGGGTATATACCCAGAAAAAACAGAAAATGGGGTCTTAAAGAGATGCGTGTGCACACATGTTCATAGCAACATTATTCACAATAGCCACAAGGTGGAAACAATACAAGTGCCCATTAGCAGATGAATGGACAAATAAAATTCGGTACAGACATGCAGTGTTCAGCCTTAAAGGTGCAGGAGTTCTGACACATGCTTAGAGAAGTCAAATTCACAGAGACAGAAAATAGAATAGTGGTTGTCAGGGTCTGGAGGGGGGAGGGGTTATTGGTTAGTAGGGTTTTGGTTATACAAGATGAGAAGCGCTCTGGAGACGGTTCCACACCAGTGCAAATGTATTAAAACCACTAAACTATATTATTTAAAGAGGAAAAATTCCGTTGTGTATGTTTGTTATGATTTTTTTAATTTAACAAAAGTTTGGAAATAAGCAAGTTGATGTAAACATACAATGAAATATTATTCACCACAAACAGGAATGAAGTCTGGATACATGGATGAACTTTGAAAGCAGTAAGCTAAATGTGAAGAAAAGAGCCAGCCACAGAAGGCTGCAGAATATGATTCCAGTTGTACGAGGTGTCCAGAATAGACAAATTCATGGAGACAGGAAATAGCGAAGGGGTAGCCTTGAGCTGGGTAAGAGGTTACCCAGCCAACAGATAGAGGGTTTCTTTTTGAGGTGATGGAAAAGTGCTGGAATTGGATCACAGTGATAAATAATTGTCCAACGTTGTGAACAGACTATTACTGAATTGTACAGTTTTTCGCTGGCAATTTTCATCTTCTTCTATAAAATGTTATGTTACATGAATAATGTTTCATTAAAAAATGAATGAAGAAAGAAATATTTGACTGGCACATATTTTTAGATCCTCTTTCATGTTTGTATTTCTCTAGTGTTCAAACTTCACATTTGAGTATATACTTGGATTAATAGCTCACTGCCATGGCTCTGAAAAGTGTTCCGTAAATACATCTTAATGTTCTTGTACCTGGGAAAGAAGTACTCATGAGTAATGAGTGTTCCAGCTGTGAGACAGTGAGCTGTGGGACAAACACAGCAAGGAAATGAATGTCTGCAGTTACATTCTTACTCAACAGCACTTGGCAGCCATGAAAACAGCCATTCATCAAACACAGGCACAAAAAATGTCTCACACAGGGCAATGAAAACCTCAGCCATAAAACCTTGTGACTGCCCGTGAAAGAGGCAGTTAACTGTGTACTGATCCACCTTCCATGCACAGAGCTGTGCTGGGCACTAGGCCCAGCAAGGGGCTACATTTCCCAGCCCCCTTCCACCCAGATTGGGTCATCAGACTCCCCGTAGGACATGAGCAGAAGGGATGGATGTACTTCTAGACCATGTTATTTAGAAGTCAGTCACCTAGGGCCTCGCTGGTGTTAAGGTCTCAGCACTATCAGTCTATCACCAGACACTGCAGGGTGAACTCGATCCCCGGCCAGGGAGCTGACCCACATGGCGCAGCAGACCTCTCCTGTCTCGCTATTCCCCGCAGCAGTGCACTTCAGTACCTCTGCCTGTTCAGCCCCCCACTCTGTCTCCGGTGAGTCCTCTCATCCCCCACACCTCTGTCCTACACCCCAGTTCTTGTATGCATAAG